AGGGCTGCTATTATGTGACAGGGAACCAGAACATCTTTGTTTTACAAGAAATCGCTGCAGTTACATAGTCCAAGTGCTCAGTGTAACCAGAGTGGAAACTGAGGCCCAGAGAATCTGTGGCCTAACCCCCTCATGACAGACCTTGCACTACAGTGCAGGCCTCCTGATGGTCTGTTCAGAGCCGCTCATTGGCTCCTGCTGTCCTGGGCCCAGCCTGGCTGCTCAGAGCATCCAGGTTCCCCACATGGTGATCCCCCGGGACTCTGCAACCTTTGTAAAGCGGTGAGATAATGAAAAGCTGACACCGGAAGGCACCTCCACACAAATGCCCACACCAAAAGCCTGTCCCTACAAACTTGCACGATTCTTCATTTTCCTTCCCCACAGAGCAGAAGACAACCAGGCAGCTGAGGGGAAGGCAGGACAGGCGCTGTTCCGGGCGCTGTGAGGTACATTTCAGTTGGTATTGCCCGCCCACCCTGACTGCCTACTCCTCCTCCTCGGAGCACTCCCTTTTCCAAAGTTCTAGAGAGGGGATAATCATAGCACCCAACCACATGTTGGGTGGACATATGACTTGGCCACAGGAAGAACCTTAACCCCCTAAGGCCAAAATGAGCGCTCAGGATGCAAGCTGAACCAACTAGAGTCATTTCCCGGGTTTTATGGATAAGAGCTGGAGAAGGAAGCTCTATCCCCTGTGTTTCCCAGTTACGTGAGCCAAGACAGTCCCAATTTGCTCAGGTTAGCTTATATTAGGTTACTGCTACTTACAACCCAAAGAATTCACACTCCTGCAGGGACATGCATACCTTTTCTCAGTTCATCTGTATAACCATCTTTTAAGGCTGCTATTACTCAATTTTAGAAGGAAGGAAACTGAGGTTAAGTAACTTGCCCAAGTCCATACAGTAAGCACAGGGCCTTCAAATTCATACAGTAAAAGGCATTCAAACTCAGGTCCTTCTGCTCGAAACCCATTCAGGATCCACTTATGAATTTCATATTCGCTCAAGACGGAACTCAACTGCCATTCAAAAGCCAAAGGATGTCTCGTTTAAAAGGTATGAGGACATAGCATGGGAAATAAACAGCATCAAACTAGGGTCAAAGGACCTGGCTTCTACATCTGGCTCAGTTTTATGACTCAGCTATTAAGACTCTGAGCAAGTCATTTCACTTACCTGGGTGTTTGTTTTCCCACCTACAAAATGAGAAGCCTGAACAATATGAACTTGAGATCCTTTTACGTACTTAACCAAAAAAGTCCATGGTTCTGCTTTAAGCATACAGATTCTGTTTTCACTCTGTCAGACAGGATGTCGAGCAGATCTCAACTTGACTGCCAGGCCCAATAAATGGCTCCCTAGGCCACAGTGACACAAAGGATTCTGAGCCGTGAGATCTAGGAAATTAGCACTGGTTTCCATGGTCACAGGGAGGAAGAGAGAGGCACAGCTGCATTTGTCACTGCTGATAACCGAGTTTCACCTTCACAGAGGGATGCTGTGGTCCGCACTACCGATGCTCCTGCTTTTGCACAGGATTTTCACCGTTCCTTTGTGTACCTCCTTGGTTCCTCTTCACAAGAAAGGAAGGAAAGTAAGGAGAAGCTAACTGGCTTGGGGAATATAGCTGAGAGCCACTGATGAAAATGTCTGAATGGCTTACATGCAGTAAAGGTAGGGGGCTATGGGGAACAGTAACAATCAGTGTGGTTCTCTGTGACACACAGTCTCAGAGGATGCTGGTAATTAGCCTAGGAGTTCAGTAACGTATGATCACGCCTATGTGACAGTAGTGGAAAATGATCCTCAAGTAAGAGGACTTGCCCAAGTCACCCACTTCCAAGTAGCAGAGCCCATATCTGAATCCACATCTTCTATATCTGAGTTCCCATGCTTTGTCCACTCCCAAGGTCCCCATTCACCTCACAGACTAAAAGAGTTGACTAATCCAGTTCCCCCTGCAAAGCAGCATACTCATCATTGTTTGCAGTTCTTCAGATACAGAAAGTTCCTCACCCCAAGATAGGAAACGTCATTACCATCTGTTTGTAATTTAATGGGCACACATTCATTGAGTATACTTGAATTCAGCAAAATTGAGCATAAAAGTTAAATATTTAAAAGGAGTGATGCTGAAGAAGCCAGCCAATGGGGGAAAATTAAAACTCAACACAGTTTTATTAATCTTAATAAAACCCCTACAACAATTCAGTGAGATGAAAAACTGACATCAGGAATATGCTTTGTCCAAAATGAGGAATGAGAAGAACTAGAACTGAATCAGGTAATGTGCATCCTAGAAATGACAGAGTGCACCTCAAGGAAGACATTCAACCGAAGGCATTAATATAACCTGCTACATTTCCTTAGGTCTGATGACCAGAGCTAACCCCGAACCAGACTATGTGTTCTAGCACTGGCCAGACTTTTATGTATAAGGAATCCAGGCCAAATAAAAGAACAGCCAGCCTTCTGATGCATGTGACTGTGGCAAGAGCACAGGACACCCCTCACCGGCTCTACACTACATTCTGGGGTAGGGGGATTATGGAGGGAACGGTTGCAAGAACAGCAGGTAACACACAAAGCAACCACAACATAAAAATCAAAATTCCTCAAAAGAATGCATATTTTTGCTATGTTAGGAGGGGCAGTGATATGAATAACACAGCCTATGTCCCCCTTCTTCACAGATTCTCCAAGCCTTAGCATCTACCCACATCATCAAGTATCAGAATTGGACTTTTCAATGGCACACAATCTAACCCTCTAAGGCGCAAAGTTCTTCTCCAACATCTCTGACAAGCAGTCATCCCTCTGATTAACTGTCTCCGGAGATGGGAAATTCAGCACCCCAGGGTCCTGTTACTGCCCTTGAGGCTCATTAATTCAAAAGCCTAAAACATGTTCTTATCACTCAGGGACAGGCCTAAGGCCTAAACCCCTTTAAGGTTTGCCATCCCAGCTGTGCTTCTTGTCTTTGCCACTTGCATATCCCCTACTCCAGAACAGGATCCAAAATTAGCCCAGTGCTCATAAATCAGTGATTTCAGAGTTAGAAAGGGACCTCCCAAAACCAACTGTGACTTCTACATACCACAATTCCACAGGAGGAGCCTAGGGAAGAGCCTGGGCCAACCTGGGGGGAGGTAGAAAGAGAACGTCCTAGTTTCCTTTCCTCTCATTTCAACCTGAGAAGCTCTTCCTTCAATCTGCTACAAATAGGGAATCAATGCAGTTTAAAAGTCTTCTGCTGTTTGAAGGGGAAAAAAGGGAACATTTACAGGTAAATAAACTAAGGCCATAAAACTTGCTTAATAACCTCATAGAGCTAATAGTTGAAGGGTTAAAACAACAACTTGGTCTCTTGGCTCCTTCTTTAGTGCTCTACCACATAACATTCATCTGCCAGTAGAGCAAAGTTCCCACATTCCAGCCACACTCAAATGCTTATCAAAACAATTCAGTAATGTTGCAGAGTGGCTCATCATTATTTGGAGTAATTCGGACAATATAAGTTCTTCCAAAAAAAACAAAAAACAAAACAAAACAACCCTGAAATATCATTACTAATTTCTTTGCAATTTAATGGGTAGACATGCATTCAGTACACATAAATTGAGCACAAAAGTTACTTATCTCCACACCTTTGTGCACACTCTTAGTATCTCCGTGATTCTCTGTACTGGAATCAACTACTCCTCTTCTAAGATTTGTTTCAGGCATCACCGCCTCTAAAAGGCCTTTCCTGGCCCTCACGTAGAGCGGACAACATTCACCTCCGTACCCTACACACTATCTAGGAGGAGGTATGGTGCTTTTGTTGTTACTGTCTCCCCCACCACTCCTTTTAAATTGTGATATTCTAACAAGGTGCTGGACAGAAGGCAGGTGCCTAATAGATGTTTACTGATGGATTGAGTGTCTTCACCTGGTCCAATCCGCCTTCTGACCCTCCCATATCCTCTGCAAACTGCCACACATTAACTCGTGCATATAGTCACTGAAAACTATCTGAAGGCCTACAAAGTACCAGGCATTGGACTGCATGCCAAAGAGAAGGGGATATACCATGAAATTCATGAAGTTTTAGTTTGAGGGCCCCTCAATTGCCCCTTCCAAAGCTCTGAACCTCTTCCTGTGATTTTGTACTCCTCTTTCTTAAAAAGGACAGAGAGAACTGTATAAGCTTCAAGCTCCACAAATACTAGATCCATCCCTGGGGCCAAGGATATAAAAGTGAACAAAGCTAACATTCTCCATTTAGAGAGTTTCCTGCTCAGTGGGGAAGACAGACAATCGTCTGTCCATTCGTTCATTCAAAAAACATTTCCTGGGCATCGCTAGGGGTCGGGCATTGGGATTCTGAGGTGACACCAGCTCTGTTTCTGTCTTCAAGGAGAAGTTCCCTGCTCTCCTGAACGAAAGCCTACTGTTAGGGAACAGAAAGCAGTTTAAATAACAGTGTTTGTGAAAGGTTACCCTAAACCAGTCTCAAGACCTACTGAACCCCTGCATGTAGCCCTGAACCTATAGCAGGATGCAAGCGGAAGGGAAAGGTCAGTTATAATATGATCTTTGATCTCACTGAGCCAGGAAGTGGGTGGAAGAAGAAGTCAACAGAACAGGCAAATACACTGTGGTCAGTGCTGACACACAATAGCAAAGGCCTGTGGGGAAGTATCCCCGACGTCTAAGTCTGCAGTGACCGTGACCTCAATACCTCGCCAAGCAGCCCAAGAACTGCATACAAGAGACTCTCGAGTTCCTCCAAATGTGTTCCCATTTCCCGAAATAAGGCTGTTCCTTTCCCAAGACAGCTGGAGGCTCCCTGATACCAACTCTCCTGTCCCCACTTCGGACCACTTTCATCTCCAAGCTGCTCCTTCAGACAGTGAATACCCGACAGAGGCAGGTTCGGGGCCTGGGGTCCACGTCGCGGGTCCGCCCCCCTCGCCCGCCCGCCCGCCGTTTCCATAGCAACCAGCTCACCACTTCCCGCGCCCGGCTGGAGAAGTCGCCCTTGGGCCGGGGGCTCCGGCGGAACAGCTCGTCACGGCTGCCATCGACCCCGCCACCCACTGCCACTCCCAGCGCTTTGTTGCGCGTCTTCACGGTCTTGACGCTGGCCCGGAACAGCAGCGTGATATCCACCGCCATAGCGACCTACACCCCCGACCCCCTTCCTGGCCGGCACACGTCAGCAGCTTGCGACCGCGGCGTGCGCCCGGCCGCTGGAGGACCGTTTCCGGCTCCGCACGCCTCCCCCGCCAACGCGACGCGAGAAGAAAGGTTCCGGCATCCGCAGGGTAACCGCGGTGAGAGGCGAAAGGTTCCGGCCTCAGCCTCTTTCTCCTCCCGGCAACCTCGGAGGCCTTGGCCGTGGGGCGGGAGGTCCGGCTTGGGGCGTGTGGGCCCCGGGAGCAAGAGGATCCGGAAGCCAGCAGATTGACTCCCGTTTTTTGGCTCTCCCACTTACTGGGCACGGGTGCGGGGAGTGGGGTGCCCTGGAGGCGACCCTTGACCTCCAGGACTCAAAGCACGTGGTCGATGACCACGTGCTACGGTAGAGCCTGTCAGCAGGCACAGAGCGAGAGGACAGGGGCCATTATTTTTCAGCCTACAGCCACCAGATCTGTAAAATTAAGGCAGTGTTATTGTGACAGTTGAAGGCGGTAACACGTGTAATGGGAACACATTTGGCGCTGCTTGGCTCGCAGTGGCCAATAAAAGTTACCGCTATTAGTAAGAACGCTGCTATCATTCTTCTTATTATTGATGTTGGAGAAGAGTACAGTAGAGGAGGCATCACCCAGAGAAGGCAGATTTGAGAAGATGAGGCGGAACTCATCAGACAAAGACAAGGGCAGAAGAGTGTCCCCTGTTTCTGTTCATCCTTGACATACAGCTTTTAAATAGCCTCTTAAGTCGTAGTAATTTAAGTTAACCACAAGTTAGCCAATGAGTTCTTTCTGTATGTTGACTCAAGGCTCAGATTTAATTTACCTGCTGGTTGCTCTTTCTTTTTAAGGAGACTACACGACTAGGGTGCGTTAAAACAGCGGTTGGCAAAGCGTGGTCTGCAAGATAAAAATTATCTTCCTGACACCAAGATGCTCCCTGCCTTTCACTATCATTCTCTCACAAGTTGTACACAGTTGAGTTTTCCAGAAGCCGTGTGACTTGTGACATTGCAAATATGCTGAATACAGAACAGCTGTCTTCTATTAAGCCAGACTTTAAAGAGGTTTGCAAAAATGTAAAACCGTGCCATTTGTGCTGTTTCTGAAGCGTATTTTTTTCACAAAAGGATCTCATTTATGTTAATAAGGAATGGAATTATTTTTGTTTTTTAATGAATATTTTAGGTTTTGGTTTTAATTTCTAATGTGGTAAATATCAATAGATAAAACACATAGAAACAAAGTGTGTTTAGGGTTGTCAATAACTTTTAAAAGTGTAGAAGAGTTCTGAAACCAAAAGTTTGTTTTCAAGAAGTTTATGAGAAATAGATGTTACATATACCTGAAAGGAGGAGGGAAAATGTTATTTAAAACCCAAACTGTAGCCACTTCAGCCTTCTTCTAGGAAGAAAAATAAATGTCCACACAGCTTTCTTACACCCACGGAGTAAGAGAAAATGAGAAAGAAATTACTAGATCTCTGCCACTGATTCAGTATTGCATAAATGGCCCTTTGTTTTATGGAGACATTAATGAATCTTTGGCTATGTAAAGTCAAGCCTGGGGCAGAGTAGAAGGAAAAAGAATTAAACAGCTCTGCATAATAAAGTGAACAGGATTGAATTAGGGGAAAGCTGGGGAAACCAGAATCCTAGGGGGAGGCAGTGAGTACTGCCTTGTAGGATTCCTGTGTTGGGGGCAGTTGGCTTTGGGTGGTAAGAAGGTGGGACAACGTTCTAAGTTTTCAATCTGCATCTGCAAAAACGAAGATTGTGGAGATGACACCCAAGTGAGCTTGAAACATCAGGCACTAAAACCACAAATGACTACAGTGTATAAAATTACTCGGAAAGTCACAGACATTTTGAGGAAGCTCTTGGGCTGCACACAGACCACAGGCTATGATATTTCACTGGGGCTTTTTGTTTTTGGTGTTTTTGCTCTTTTCACATCAAAGAGCAAAGTGACTTCAGGTTGGCATTTGAAACCCTACAAAGCTGAGAGGCACTGTGGTGAAAAAGGAAGAACAGAATGTCTTGGGAATGAACTACAAACTGTCCAGTTTGACATAGAACATACATTATGTTTCATAAGTAATAACACCTATTCATTAGGCCAGACACTTTTCTCTTTAAAACAACAACAGTAAGTCACATTGGAGTCCCTGAATGTAGCTCCCCATAACAGCATCCTCCATACAATCAGGATAGATTGTAGAATCTTTTGGGGACTCACAGAACTCATCAAATGCAGCCTCTCTCCAACAGAGGGTATATTGCACATCCAAATGCCCAACCCATGACAGACATGCTACGTATGAGAAATAGAATTCTGTTGTTAGCCATTCAGATTTTTGTTACTGTTACATCCTCTAGAGAGGTTGGTTTTATAACCCCACTCAGTGAGGGAAAATGGTAAGCAGGCATTTGTTGTACGGAGTGTGAATTCTTGTAGGTAGTATGGGGAGACCAGAGTTTTTTGGATCCACAGGATCATGGACTTGCTGAAGACCCTCTGTACAAGTTTATTTTATTATTCATCTCATATTCATGTCACCTCCTTAGGAGAGGTTTATAGCTTCTTGACCTATTGAATGACTCTCTTGGCCAGGTGATTCCTCTTCCCCATGAAAAGTGACATGTGTTACAAATGTAGGAGATAACATGTGGTTCACTATGCTCTCTTTTCCCTCTGCCATGACAACCCATAGTGTTCCAGTGTTTCATGAGCCTAGGTCCCTGAGTAAAGATGACATGGAGCATAGCCAACCACTGATGGGTATTGGCAATGAGAAGTCTACCTTTGTTCTTATTGTCTATGGAGATTTGTGGTTTCTTGTTACTGCAGCATGATTAGCCTATCCTGATTAATACAACCTATCTCCAGATATCTGTACAAACAAGTCTATTAGATGCATTCTTCACTTACCTTCCTTACCATGTTACCTCCCAGTGGTAAAGCGTGGAGAGGAAGGACTACTGGTTCACACCTAGATCAAATCAATAGTGTTAGGCTAACAGAAACCCTGGACGATTGACCATGCCATGGTAGAAGTCACACTGAAAGAGGACAGGACTGAAGAACATGTATTTTCAAATTAGGAAGTGGACTTAAAAAATAAATTAATTGAAAAAAAATTTTTTTCTCATAGGCTTTAGAAAGGACCATGATTCTAGGGATGGGAAGCTCAAAGAATAAACCTTTGTTCTTAAGAAGGAACAGACAGAGCTAATAAATCAGGGTGCTGGAGAAGATGGAACTTCTGTGTGTGCCAATGGGAATATAAATTGGTGGCCCCATGTTTGAAAACAGAAAATTAAAAATAGAACTCACTTAGGGGTGCCTGGGCGGCTCATTGTTTGAGTGTCCAACTCTTGGTTTCAGTTCAGGTCATGATCTCAGGGTTCTGGATAGAGCCCTGGGTTGGGCTCAGTTCAGAGTGTACCAGAGATTATCCCCTAAGCCTCTTCTCTCCCTCTACTCCTCCTCCTGCTCAAGGCTCTCTTTCTAAAGTAAATAAATAAAAATTTATTTTTTATTATATATTATATAATTTTATATATAATATAAATATAATATTATATAATATTATATTTATATTATATAATATAATAATTATATATATTATATAATATATAATTTTATTATATATTATATATAATAATATATATTATTTTATTATAATAAAACTGGGGGAGGCACCTAGGTGGCTCAGTTGTTAAGCAGCTGCCTTTGGCTCAGGTCATGATCCTGGGGTCCTGGGATGGAGCCCCATGTTGGGCACCCTGCTTAGCAGAGAGTCTGGTTCTGCTTCTGTTTCTCGCCCTCCTGCTACCCTCCCCCACTCATGCTTTCTTTGGCTCACTCTCTCAAATAAATAAAATCTTAAGGAAAAAAAAAAAAAAAGAAGGGTGACTGGATGACTCAGTCAGTTAAGTGTCTGTCTTTGGTTCAGGTCTTGATCCCAGAGTCCCAGGATCAAACCCCACATTGGGCTCCCTGCTCAGTGGAGAGTCTGCTTCTCCTTAGTCTACTTTCCCTGCTCATGCTCTCTGGCTCATTCTCTCAAATAAATAAATAAAATCTTAAAAAAAAAAAAAAAAAGAACTACCATATAATCCAGCAATCCCATTTCTGGGTATATATCCAAAAGAATTGAAATCAGGAGCTCAAAGAGATAACTGCACTTCCACCTTCATAGCAGCATTATTTACAATAGCCCAGATTTTAAGCAACATAAATGTCCATTAGCAGATGAATGGATCAAAAATTGTGGTACATATGCACGATGGAATAGTATTCATCATTAAACGAGAAGGAAAACCTGCAATATGCAAGAACATAGATGAACCTGGAGGACATTATGTTACGTGAAATAAGCCATTTGCAGAAGGACAAATACTGCATGAGCCACTTATATGAAGTATCTAAAATAGTCAAAGAGAAGGCGAGAGTATAATAATGGTTGTCAGGGGCAGGCAGTGGAGGGAGGAGTGGGGAGTTGCTGACTGATGGATATAAAGTTCCTGTTAAGCAAGATGAATGTGAAACACAGTGCCCAAGGTTAACAATACTGTGTTTACACTTAAGAATCTATTAAGAGGATAGATCTCATGTTAAGTGTTCTTACCACAATAATGAAAATTTTAAAAACGAGAGGGAGGATTTTTCCCAGAAGATTTCTGTCATGAGCATGCTATGAAGAAGGCACACATTCCAGTTGTGTCTTCTACAATGCCAGCTTTATTGTATCATAAAGCAAGGTTACCATGATCATAAAGCAGATTCAGGATTCCAAACTCAATGGCATTTCACCATGTGTTTTAGCTTGGCTTCTTACATGTCACACAAAGCAAAGCACAAGACAAGTCACACAATATCACACAAGACAAAACAGAGGGTAGGAAGTTAATGAATCAGACTCCAAGTCACTCTGTGAACATGCAGTTGAATGAGGCCTCCATTTGGTCCAGGTCAGTTCTCAGCACTTATTGTATTATATTCCAGCTGTGAAGGATCTCTGTTCTTTTCAGAGATCAAT